AACATGAAAAATGAAAAACAAATATATATATATATATATGTATTTGTATATGTATATGTATATGTACATACAAACATACATACATACATACATGTATATATATATATATATGTATGTATGTATGTATGTATGTATGTATATGCAGACAAATAAGACCCAAACCCTGAACCCTGCACTCCTAAACCCCCTAAGCCCCCCAAACCCCCTAAACCTTCTAAGCCCCTAAACCCTCAACCCGGAAAGAGTGAACTGCGGGCCCGTAAACCCGGGGTCCTGGCCAGTCAGTTGAGGGTTCTCTGGGGCAGGGGCAGTGGAGTGGAGATGGTTGTGTTTTGGGGTTGAGGAGAGTCAGGGCTGTAGCTTAGGGTTTCAGGTTTAGGGTTTAGGGCTTTAAGGGTTCAGGAATCAGGGTTCACGGCTTCGCGACTTGGGGTTGAGACGGACGTAGAGATCGAGAGTTTCTGGTTCGGGGCTGAGCCCGTGTGGGAGTGCCAAGTGGCGCGGCACCGGGTGGCTAGAGAGTTGGTCTGACATTTTGTTCCTGGTTTCAGACACTAGGGGTCTAGGGTTTAAGGGTTTAGGGCTTAAAGTTTAGGGTTCAGGGTTCAGGGTTTAGGGCAAGCCTGAGGCCCTCATGCCTAGGCCCGACACCCTTTCAGGAAGCATGTCGAAGCTTCTCTCAGTATACGGGGCAAGCTGCCTTGTGTATTGCTGTGAATCTTCGGCCACGTGTTGCTCCATGTTGCGGGGGCGTCTGCGGATTCCGGGCAGACCCTTGATACCCTAAACCCTCAACCCGAAAAACTGGTAGCTAAATGAATATACCACAAGAAGAGACAGACCGAAAAAGAAGCTAAAAGCACTAAACCCTGAAAATAAAACTAAACCCCAAACCCAACCCTAAAGTTGACCCTAAACCCTAAACCCCAAACCCTAAAACCTGAACCGCAAACCCTAAACCCTAAACCCCAAACCCTAAACCCTAAAATTACCCCTAGACCCTGAACCCTAAACCCAAAGACTAACCCTAAACCCTAAATCCTAAAAACCCTAAACCCCAAACCCTAAACCCTCAACCCCAAGCCCTAAACCCTAAACCCCAAACCCCAAACCCTAAACCCCAAACCCTAAACCCTACACCCCATAATTAAACCCGAAACCCGAAACCTTAAACCCTAAACCCTACACCCCAAAACCTCAACCCTAAACCCCAAACCCTAAACCCCAAACCCTAAACCCCAAACCCTAAACCCCAAACCCTAAACCCTAAACCCCAAAACCGCAACCCTAAACCCCAACTAAACCCCAAACCCTAAACCCTAAACCCTAAACCCCAAACCCTAAACCCCAAACCCTAGACCCTAAACCCCAAACCCTAAACCCCAAACCCTGAACCCCAAACCCAAAACCCTAAACCCTAAACCCTAAACCCTAAACCCCAAATCCCCCCATCTGGCCAGCTGAGGAGCTGCTACTTCGGCGGCTTTGACCGCGGCTGCCCTTGCTACCTCAAGACGGTTCAGGGTTGAGGGTTGAGGGTTTAGGGTTCAGGGTTCAGGGTTTCGGGTTTTGGGTTTTTAGGGCTTTTGAACCTTGCCCGGGTTTAGGGTTTAGGGTTTAGGGTTTAGGGTTAGGGTTTTTAAGGCGTTTTGGGGCTTTTTTAGGTTGATTCTTTGCTTTTTGTGCTAGGGTGTATAGGTTTTTGCTGCTTTTTTTTAAAGGTTTGTAGGCTTGTTTTTTTGTCAAAGGTTTGTTAGGTTTTTTTGTTGCTTTTTTAGAGTTTGTAGGCTGTTGTTTAGTCTGTTTAGAGTCTGCAGGTGTTTGTTCAGGGTGTTTAGAATTTCCCCCCCCCCGCCCCTGAAACCCTAAACCCCAAGCCCTAGACCCTGTGTTCCAACTCCCAAACTCAATGCAACTCTTAGTACCCCAGCTGGCCCTGCAGGTCTTCGGCGCAGGAACACTTCAGGCGGTTCAGGGTTTAGGGGCAGCGAGTCCCCTTGCAGCGCCCGCCCAACACTGCACACCCCCAAACCCGATTTGCCTAAGGAATCCCCACACCCTCAACGATCCTAGGGTTGAAGCCACAAGCTCCGAATCCCGCCGAAACCCCACAATCCTCAAGCACCCTATGAAGCACCAAACCACCACCCCCAAAAAAGAAAAACAAGCACCACGAAACTGCTCTGCCACCCCAACGAATAAAGGTGACTTATATACCCTACTGTTCTGGTCAAAGGGTAGTTGGGGGGGGGGGGTGCTGGTAAAACCCCCAAACCCCTAAACCCCAAACCCTGATTCCAGTGCAAGTGGCTTTTGGTTTTCGAAGATTTCGAAGTCCGCGAGCTGCGCGTGACCATGGAGTCGCGTTGCTGGGCCTGGCAGCGGGGCGCTGGTTGGGAAGCTTCTATACCCAGATAGAACCCTGTGGAGGGGCTACCCTAAACCCTAAACCCAAAAACGCTATACGACCTATGTGAAGGAATAAGGGCGTGGGAGGCCTTGAGGTGTACAGGGCTGAGGGCTTATGGCCTCAAAGTTGAAGGCAAAGGTTTGGGTTCTTAAGGTCTGGGTTTAGGGTTTAGGGTTTAGGGTAGGAGGTTTTGGGTCATGCACTCCCCCCATCTGAGTGAATCTGGCTTTTTGTCTAGAAGAAATGGACCGGAAAAGCATGTTGGAGAGGCGGGCAACTATTGTTTCAATTGGTACTCATCTTCTTGAGGGGCCCGACTCAAAAACTCCCCAAGCCCCCTCCGAACCTAGACCCGACAACCCAAACCCAACAAAGAAAGGGACCCTAAACCCTAAACCCTAAACCCCTGAACCCTAAACCCCTAATTAACCCTAAACCCTAAACCCCTAAACCCTAAACCCTAAACCCTAAACCCTAAACCCTAAACCCTAAACCCTAAACCCAGCAAAGAAGCCACCCGGAGCCTCGGCCTGGGGGCGCGGATCTTCCGCGCCCCGCAAGTCCGCGAGCCGCGCCTGCTCCTCCAGCTCCCTGGTGTGGAGTGTGGGGGTTTTGGGAGGTTTAGGGTTTAGGGTTTAGGGTTTAGGGTTTAGGGTTTAGGGTTTAGGGTTTAGGGTTTAGGGTTTAGGGTTTAGGGTTTAGGGTTTAGGGGTTTAGGGTTTGGGGGTTTCGGGGTTTAGGGGCTTATGGGGTTTCGGGGTTTAAGGTGTTTAGGGGGGTTTAGAGGTTGTAGGGGGTATAGGGGCCAGGGGTTTAGGGATTAGGGATTTAGGCCTCACGCGAAAGCACACAACCGTAAAACCCACTCGGCACCAAAACTCCAAAGCCGCTGCTAAGCTGGTCTACATGAAGGAAGGCCCTATCTGGTTGCAATTGAGATCAATATCGGCATGTGCTTGGAGAACCCATATGCTTGGTAACCCAGCGAAACCCTTTTGCCCTTTATTTGGTTCTAGGTTCCCTTGAACCAACCCCAAACACGGTTCCCTTATAAAAGTGGTATGGTTACTGGGCCAGCAAGTATGAGGCCAGCTGGGGTGATTTTCAATAGGACTCACTGAGTCACCCGGCTCTTGCTTCCTCGAGGGCGCCAAAGCTTGGAGCAGTTCGTCAGGGGACTGCGCCTAGGCCCCCCAGCGTGGCAGGGTTTAGGGACCAGGGTTTCGGGTTTAGGGTTTAGGGTTTAGGGTTTAGGGTTTAGGGTTTAGGGTTTAGGCTTCATTCATTCCTTATGTACCCCATGAGATCATAGTTTGTTCGGTGTAACGCTTCGGGAGGATGCTTTCAGCAGTGGGGAACTCTATCACACTGGCCCAAAGGTTTGAGGCTTTAAGGGGTCCTAGGGTGTAGTTGAGGGTCCCCTAATTCTCTAACCCCAGTCGACAGGTGGAGGGTTTTTAGGGGTCGAGGGCCCTACAAACCTAGGTTCTTTTTGGTAGGGTTAGGGCTTGGGACAACGACACCTCAGGCCTATACAGCCCCCACCCCAGCCCCCCCACCCCCACCCTCACGAGCGCACCGAAATACCCCCCAAATACCCCAAATGCACCCAAATACCCCCAAATACCTTAAACCCATTCAATGCCCAGCATGTGCACCTTGGCCACTGCCTTCAGCAGCTCCTCCGAAGTGAGCGCAATCCGCCTCGCAGTTCTGGTCGTTCTGGGTTGCAGGGTTTAGGGTTGAGGGTTTAGGGTTATAGGGTTTAGGGTTTCGGGGTAAGGTTCATCGGGCTTAGGGTTATAGGGCTAGGAAGCCAGGGTTTAGGGTTTCGGGGTTCTGGGTAAAGGTCTTAGGGGGTTGATATTACAGCCCTCGAATTTCAAGGCTGTCGAGGACCTTGTGTGCACTTGCGGACAGGTGTCGAGCGTGCTTAATCCTGGGGTTTAGGGTTTAGGGTTTGGGGTTTACCGTAGGTATGATGGTCTCACCTGGAGGAAAGGTGTGCGGATGAAGCCAAAACCCTAACCTGTTCAGGGTTGAGGCTTTCGAATTTAAGAGCCAGCACAACCTTGCGCGGGCTACCCCCGCCCCCCCTAGGTCCCCCATAATTCAGGCTATTCAGGGATCTTTTAGCCTGATTAGGTTATTTAAGGGGGGAGCCTAGGGGGGTAGTATAATAGAGGGGGTAGTAGGAAACCCACGATACCTAGAGTTCTCATCTTGCTGGCCCCTGCATGCTCGTTCATACTCCTCCAGGTTACTGGTTTCTTGAGTAGGGAATAAGGGAACTAACTGGGTACCCGGGAATGTAGGAGGGATATAAGGTGCCCAACTACCTCATTCCCTACCAAAGAAAGGCAAGCCAAAATCTCATCCAGAATTCTTGCCTGGGGGGATGGCTTCCTTTGAATTCAAGTTAGCTCCACTGTCACGTCTGCCCTCTGGGACCCGTTGCCAGTCGAAGTACATACAAGAAATTTGGGCACGAGGACCCTTAACCCTAAACCCTAAACCCGAAACCCGAAACCCCAAGCCCTAAGCCCAAAACCCTAAACCCCAAGCCCTATAGACCCTAGACTGTGCAACCGCAGAAAGAAGCTGGGTTCGGCGCTGGTCCACGTGGGCGCAAGGCTGCATGTAAGTCATCATTGCCTCTTCAGAGGTGGCAAGCCGACTAAACCCTAAACCCTAAACCCTAAACCCTAAACCCTAAACCCTAAACCCTAAACCCTAAACCCTAAACCCTAAACCCTAAACCCTAAACCCTAAACCCTAAACCCTAAACCCTAACCCTAAACCCTAAACCCTAAACCCTGCTCTGCAATCACCACAAGATCGGCCTTCCACAGCGCCTCCCGATCTTCGGGCGACACGCCTGGAGGGAGTCGGATGTTTCCCACGGGAGTTTAGATGGGTTTAGGGTTTAGGGTTTAGGGTTTAGGGTTTAGGGTTTAGGGTTTAGGGTTTAGGGTTTAGGGTTTAGGGTCGAGGGTCGAAAGGGAGCTTGGAAGGGTTTAGGTTCGGGATGAGATGGAAGTAGGGCTGCACCCCAGCAACCCTTCACAACAGGAGTCTAATCTCAACAGCTTCGGCTTTACAACGCCGCTTAGCAAAACTTCTGCAAAGGCGCCTCTTAAGGGGTCTAAGGGGAATTTCATGCGTCATTCATTCACTTTGTTCACTCACTCTTTTACTTTCATTATTTTCGCGCCCGTGACATTACTCTGTTAGGGCGTGTGAACAATAACAATATTCTGATAAACCCCCGTGCCTTGAACATACGTTTTTTTATTGGTCCGGTCATATAGTATGAAGATAAGAGCCCATACAGTTTTCAAAAAAGAAATGAGGGGCAAAGTTGGGCTTTTATTCGTTCGCGTAATCGCTTACTCACTCCGTGCCGTCGTTCGGGCACTCATACGATTATACAAAGAAATCGCATGAATACAGTGAATGCACGCACGCATACCATTAATGAACGAAGTACGTGCATGAATTGTATGAGAACGAAGTCATTAACCGTGTAAACGAGAACGCACTTCTAATTAATGTCGCATTCAATGACAGATGTCTTTCATCACGCGATGGAAGTGGGTTCGTTCCGTTCAATCATTCACGCATTTATTTTTTGCGCAAGTTTAGAATTAAATTACGGGCTTATGTTCACCTCCCTCATCAACTCCTAGAAGGGACCTTAATCTTTCTCCCGTATATATCCCCTGTCCTTATATAGTCCCTCTGTACTTATAATAAGGGTCCCTCCTTTAGTCCCTTGAACCTCGACCCTAAATCTGAAAAAGTATGGGGGTCGTTTTTGTGCACTAAGGCTGTCGGGCTTCCCTAGCCTCCATGAACCCCCTCCCTTAAGAACCCTAAATCCTCAAAGCTAAGCCCCAGACCCCAAACCCCAAACCCCAACCCCAAACCCCAAACCCCAAACCCCAAACCCCAAACCCCAAACCCCAAACCCCAAACCCCAAACCCCAAACCCCCAACCCCCAACCCCAACCCAAAACCCTAAACCCTATAAGTAAATCTCAAGAGACCATGGCGGCCCCGTCCTGTGGCAGCTTCCAGGGACCAACGGAATGCGGCGCCCTCACAGCGCATGCAGATTTGTGGTTGAAGTGCTACAAGGCCGGTTTGGGGTTTAGGGTTTAGGGTTTAGGGTTTAGGCTTTAGGGTTTAGGGGTTAGAGGTTAGAGTTTAGGGTTTAGGGTTTATGCCCTAGGGGGTTTGATATTGAGAGGTTTGCTTTCATGACGGAAAGGTTTAGGTTTCAGGGAGGAGGGGTTGGGTATGTAGGGTGCGGTGTGTTAAGGCCTCAGGATATTAAATAAACGTTAAGTTGAGGGTGTAGTGAGTTTCGGGCTGGGGCTTCCATGAGGAAGAAGACCACAAGTCTGCACCTCCTTATGCTGCAAAAAAACCTAAACTCCAAAACCCTAAACACTAAGCACATGTGCATTCCTGCTGACGGGAATGCTGATACCAGGTCTTACCAGGGCCGCTAGGTCCAGGCTTCCTGGGCATCCGACATGCAAAATGTAACCCTAAACCCTAAACCCTAAACCCTAAGACCATGAAACTTATCAGAGGCAAAGAGCTGGCTGTGCACTTGACTTGAGGTGCGGACAGCCAAGCCGACCAAAGATTGCGCCACGGCCTCCAGCCTCCAAGCTAAAGGTTTAGGGTTTAGGGTTTAGGGTTTGGGGTTTAGGGTTTAGGGTTTAGGTTTTAGGGTTCAGTGTAGGGTTTAGGGTTTAGGGTTGAGGGTTGAGGGTTTAGGGTTTAGGGTTTGGGGTTTGGGGTTTAGGGTTTGGGGTTTCGGGCTTGGGGTTTGGGTTTAGGGCAACACTGCAAAGCCCACTCCCTGCTGGGGCTTGCTATCATCGACACTTTGCTGCTATTGGGAACCGCCCCAGCAGGCCTCATTTTCCCATTGGTTGCCCAGTAACCTAGGATGAAAAAGGGTGCCCTTTTTTGCTCAAAGGAGTTGATAAGGGAACCTAAACCTACCAAAAAGGGGAATAAGGGTACTACTGGGCATCCTAGTTTTGGAGCTGGTTACTTAATAAGGGAACCTGAAACCAAATCAAGGGCAAAAGGTTACCACGGGGCTGCCAAGCATATAGGTTCTCCAAACACATGCTAAATCTCAATTGCAACCAGATAGTGAGCCTTCCTTCAAGTAGACCATAAAGCTCGGCATCCCGCCATCTAGGGTTAAGGGTTTAGGGTTTAGGGCGCTTACCTGTCTAGAAAAAAATGATGAGGGGGAAGAGAGCAGTAGAAAGTAGTGCTCAGAGTTTGAGGGCTTAGGTTTCCAAGTAGCTTTGGAAAGAAGTTTTTTTGTGCATATTTTTGCATAAGGGGGGTTACAAGGAGACAGATCAGATTCCAAATTCCTTGATTCCTGTTAAGGGGCTGTAATCACCCAGAGTGAGCCGAGACACTGTTTCAGCACGGAACATGCCTTCAACAAATATACACATATATATGAATAATATGTGTATATATATACACATGCATATACACATGTATTGATTTATATATGCATACATATACATATACATATACATATACATATACATATACATATACATATACATATACATATACATATACATATACATATACATATACATATACATATACATATACATACATATATATCTATATATATATATATATGAGTCCTTACTATGATGGTGTGTTCTTTGTGTAAGGGGCATTGGGCTCTTTGGGTGCAGCCAAGCAATTCGAAAAAAGCTGCGCTTCTAGGCCGCCATCCTAAGCCGCTCCCTAAGTAACATGACGACCAATCTGGGTTTAGGGTTTAGGGTTAGGGTTTGAGGTTCAACCTCTGAGATAACCTGGCACTTTAAACTCTGAACCCCGACACTTTCAACCCCAGCCCAAAGCAAAAAGGAGAACCCTGCCCAAGCTCTAACCCTCTAAGCCCCTGAACCCCTAACGCCTAAACCCGAAACGCTGAGCCCTAAACCCGGTTTAGGGTTTACGGTTTAGGGTGTAGGGTTTAGGGTTTAGGGACAACCATCCCTGCTTAGCCCCCCGACTGCCGAGACAGCACGTCGCAACGGCGGCAGCCAGCTGTGCGTCGCCCACGATCCGCCTGCATGCTGCAAGGGCTGGGTTTAGGGTTTTAGGGTTTAGGGTTTAGGGTTTAGGGGTTAGGGGTGAGGGGTTAGGGGTTTAGGGTTGAGGGTTTACAGTAGGGTTTAGGGTTTAGGGTTTAGGGTTGAGGGTTTAGGGTTTAGGGTTTAGGGATGGATGGGTAGGTCTGCTATGCGCTCCCCAAAAATCCCTGCAGGTACGTAGGTGGGACTAGTGGAGCCTCCAGGATGGTTGCTATCTGATCATAGCCCTAAACCCTAAACCCTAAACCCTAAACCCCAAACCCTAAACTTAGGGTTTGGGGTTTGGGGTTTAGGGTTGGGGTGTATAGGTGTTAAGGGGTATAAGAAGGGACCCCTAGAAGGGACCCTTGATCTTATTCCCCTACATATAACCACCATATATACCTCATACAGTCTAAGTAGCCCCAAAATAACCCCAAAAAAACCCTCAGGTCCCTAAGAAGGGTCCATCCTTTAGTCCAAAACCCTTATAGCCCTGACCTATCAACCCTCATCCCTCGCACTCCCAAGCTCTGCACTCAACTTTGGGGTTCAGGGTTTAGGGTTTAGGGTTTAGGGGATAGGGGTTTTGGGTTTAGGTTTAGACTTACAACCCTGTTTATTTTCACTACCCATGAACCTCCAAGTGTTCCCAGCAAAAGCCTAACCCTAAACCCTAACTAAACCTTGTTGAAGCCCCATAACCTCATAACACCATAACCCCCTAAACCCTAAACCCCCTAAACCCCACACCCCATAGACCCCTCAACCCCTAGACCCTAAACCCCCTAAACACTAAACCCCGAAACCCTCCCGGCCTTGAGATGTGTGGAGGCCACGGACTTCGGGGCCTCGAGGAGTTTGAGGGTTCAAGGGGGGGGGTGGGGGGGGGTGGGGCGGGCCTTTGGGGGCCCATAAGTAGAAGATGTTAAGGATTAGGGCTTAGGGTTTAGGGTTTCGGGTTGAGAGTTTAGGGTGAAATGAAAACCAAACCCTTGACCCTGAAACCTAGCCAAAAGTTCTCAAACACCCTATATACCCTAAACCCCAACCCCAAACCCGGCACTCCACACCCTAAACCCCAAACCCTAAACCC